TAGTAGTTCAACATCTTAACACTCGACCGAAAAGGCGCTTTGTATTTAAAGTCTTAATTTTCTGAAATATATTGTTAAAGTAGAAGGAGCCTTTAATGTGTGATACGTCCTCGAGATAACATGTGGAAATCTTCGTTAAAGTCTTGTTTAATAACGGCGAAAAGATCCGAGTTTAAAATTAGGTTCAATGCCCTTATAAATAGCTCTTTTGGCAAGATTGTCGGTCTTTTCATTTCCCGTTATGACCTTATGAGAGGGAATCCAGATAAATTAACCCACATAGATGCGTCACCAGCATCCTCCAAGCTCGCCTTGATAAGAGGGATAAGATAATTGGGTTAGACAACAATTTCCATAAAAGTAGAGGGAATAACGTTGACAGTAATGAAAATCCTCTAGGTGAAACATTTAAATTTCTGCGGATTGGTTACATTGTGTAAATAGAAGTGTATCAATTTGCGAAGCCTAACATATGCGAACGTGCGTAATATAAAACGATTAAAATTAGAAAAATTAATATGTTTTTTTAATGAAAAGTTGGAATATAAAGCTATACCTAATATAGTGATGAATAGATTTTTCATATATGACATTTAAAATATATTTATTATTTTTAATTGTTAAATGTGCTTTGCATTCTACATCTTTATCTTTACGGAAACTGCATTATTTCTATTTATTGTGATGAAAAGTATTTATGAGTTCTCTTCTTTTGTTTTTTATAACCTCATTTGCAATTTTTCCGGGATGTTGCATGACATGTAATTAATACCTAATTTATACATCAAATTTATAATATTGTGTGTTCATTTTATCGCTATATATGTCCGAAGAAAGAAAACATTTAAGTAAGAATTCAAAACCAAAATTAGAGTACGAAGGATATACTTTTTACCACAATAGTTCATATAAAGATAATGTGTAAGTAGAAAGAGAATGAAAACTCATACAAAACTTTAAAAAACGTTTTAAAGATGTTTGAAAGATGTCTTTATGTTCTAAAAAAAATGTTTTCAGAATATACTAAATGTATTAAATATAATTCAATAGGCATTTAATCAGTGGCGGATCTACGGGGGTGGTCAATGGGGACATGACCATCCCTTTTGAAGCCAATCGTCAGTTGGTTCGGTTGGTTAACATAAATACTACAATTTATGTTATACTAATGATTCGTCTACCTCCCACTATCAAATTATTTGCTATTGTTTACTATTTCTTTTATTAATTAAGTATTCCTCTACTATAGGATATATCGGGATAATTTCAAATAGAAGAATTATTTCGTTATTTATCCTACTGTTTAAATCTGCAATAATAATTTTTTCGAACAGTATTCTTTAACAGTATAACTGCAGCTATCCATTTGTTGCGTTGTTCGAATTTTCAACTTGCTGTTGGGAATCTGTAAAACTTACATTTACTATTTCTTTCGGTATTTTTACAATTTACAACACAACTAACATGGCCCATTTTGAATAATTTGTTTACAAAAAGTCATAAAGCTTTCGACTATTCAGATCAAAGACCTCCACTCAGAGAACTATTAGTCAAATTTCTGGTTTTTTGGTTGTTATTCTGAAAGTTTCTTTCTCAAAATGCTCCATGAAGATGTTGGCGATTACCAGAGGAATAGGAGAGCCCATTGCCGCTCCTGAAGTTTGTTCATAAAATTGATTGTTATAGGAGAAATAAGTGGCTGTTAAGCAGTGCTCTATTAGTAGGATGAGGTTAGAGGGGACTTCATGTGAGGCTTTTATTATGTTTAATGTGTCTTTTATTGGGACTTGTGTGAAAAGAGATTCTACGTCGAAACTTACAAGCAGGTCTATGGGACGTAGCCCCATCCATGTTAATTTTCTAATGAGGGGTTGTAGTATTTGTGCTAGGAAGCGGGATAAGTTGTATGTCGGAGAGTATATGGCGCTGACAATAGGTCTGAGGGAGATGTTTGGTTTGTGTACTTTTGGTAATCCGTATAGTCTTGGTGGGAGAGGATTTGTAGATTCTAACGTTGATTTGATTTTACTGGGAATGTTGCTTTTCTCTACTAGGATCTTAGTGTTCTGTGCGATTGTATTAGGATCTTTGTCTTTTTGTATGCTTTATCCGAAAGAAGGTTCTTTATCTTTTTGTTATATTTAACAGATAGAAGGACTCTTCCTATACAAAATAAATAACAATAAATAAAGGGCAAAAAGTAAGAGTTAAACACATTTTTTAAAAATTGTTACACAATTAAAAAGAATAAATTACAAATAAAAAAAAGTAAAATTG